TACGCAGGCATGATATGACTGGCATCGACTGCGTGGTTCGGGCGCTGCTGGATTTCGGGTCTTGGGATTTGTTCGCTTGGGCTCTTGACGGTTTACTTGGAGGGTCGGGGGACTTAGTAACTAGTCATTTTGGAGACTGATAAGTACATAACCCAAATTAGAATCCCTTTTAGGGTACTTATGACTCTACTTATTACCTACTTACGAAGTCCCCCGACCCTCCAAGTATGGGTTCAGGGTTTAGAGTTACGGTCTCGAATTAGGGCTTAGTATTCTACATCCGCAGCCCTTCACACAAATACTACAGGGGCCTCTCATGGTTAGAACCATACGATAAACATAATCCGGTTCCCAAAATAGTATAGGTAATTACGAAGACCCCCTTTTAGTACTGCAAATGCTGCCACCCGAGAACCGAACCCGAGATTGTGCTTCCACGCTCCAGGTTGTTGCAATAATGACGAGTAGCAAGAGCTGGAGGTTCATGGGTAGTTGTAAGCGGATTATAAGTCCCGTGATACGGCTTGGAGGGTCGGGGGACTTAGTATGTAGGTAATAAGTAGAGTTATAAAGTACCCCAAAAGGGATTCTAATTGGGGTTATGGTACTTATCAGTCCCCAATATAACTAGTTACTAAGTCCCCCGACCCTCCAAGGGGTTATAACTATAGTTATCCTACTTATAACATAACTTTGAACCTTCAAGTAGCAAGACTCGGAGGTTCAGGTAACGTTTGGAGGGACGTGTCTGGGGTCTGGGCTTTTGAATTTTGTAACTGGGGTTTAGTGCTTAAGGTGCTTGTGGGTTCAGCTTTTGGGTGTTAGGGTTCAGGGGTTTAGGGGTTTAGGGGTTTAGGGTTTAGGGGTTTAGGGTTTAGGGGTTTAGGGTTTAGGGTTTAAACGACGCAATGCCGATCTCAGGCAGGGGGCAGTAGTTCTTGCTACACTCGTCGCGGCGGAAGCTCTTGCGGCAGGTCGGGCAGCTGTAGCGCTGGTTGGCGCCAATGATCCGCTTCAACTCAGTTTGAGGGCTTGGGGGTGTCCAGAGGCTATAGGTTGGTGGCTTTCGGTTTAGGGTTTAGGGTTTAGGTAGGATTTACGTAGGTTTAGGTAGGATTTAGCGCTTCGTGCTCAGGGAGACCCGATGCTCTGAGCAGCCATGCCGTGAAAGACCCTCATGCCCTGCGCGAACACATGTGCCAAATGCGGCGAAGCGACGCAAGCCTTGCAGAAGGTATGCCCACACTTGGACACCAGCGGAGTATGATCGCCGTCATCGAAGTCTTCCCAGCAAAGCTCGCAAGAAACTTCGATCCTCGATTTGGCGATTGAAGTCTACGCAGTCCAGGTCAGAGGGTGTTGAAGATGTAAGACATGCGGGTCTTGAGAAGTAGCGCATGGCAAAAACGCTGGGTAAGCATCGTTGCAAGTACTGGCAGACCCACTGAAGGCAGCGAGAGCCCTACTTGCAACTACCCTGAAAGAAGCACGGTCTTAGTAAGTATCTAAGTGTCCACCGCTTTGGCTTCCGGGTCGTTGAAAGCACTTGGCAAAGGGAATGCCCGGTTGGGTTCAGGTGGAGAGAATGCAGGATTCGGAAATTTGATTGTGCTGGCAAGTGGAGGACTGGACAAGCACTGGTGCCTTCTCGTTTTTTGCTCGGGGAATAGCGAAGAGCACAGACGGGTATTGAAAGCACATGTTCAGGCTTTCAGCGGCGAATGGCTGCTAATTGCTGCCACCATCTTCCTCATACCGCAAAGTCAGATCTCAAGTAGGCAGACATGTTTGGCTCACCGCGCACGGGGAACAACAGCTGCTGCTGCTACTGCTACTACTAGTACTACTACTACTACTACGACTACGACTACGACTACGACTACGACTACGACTACGACTACGACTACGACTACTTCTGCTGCGGCTGCTACTACCTTTTATTACTACCACAAGTATTGCTACGACTACTACTACTACTACTACTACTACTACTACTACTACTACTACTCCTACTCCTACTCCTACTCCTGCTCCTACTCCTACTCCTACTCCTACTCCGACTGCGACTGCGACTGCGACTACGACGACGACGACGACGACTACTACTACTCCTGCTACTACTACTACTACTACTACTACTGCTGCTACTACGACAACTACTACTATCACCGCTACCACTACTCATACTTCTGCTATTACCGGTCAGGCTTCAGCTTCGACCAATCAGCCTCTGCAGCATCGTACCATAGTCGTACTTGCGCATACTTGCGCATATACATGCAAGGAACATGAGAGTTTCCGAAAATTAGGGGTACCATTTTGGGGGGTCCTTATAATAAGGATCCTATTATTTAGGGTCCTATATTAGGGTCCCCTATTTTCGGAAACCCCCACATGACGACGAGATTCATGCCCTGGGCCCTTCGCAGTTTGCCCGAACGAGATACTTGCCTCAACAGCGACAGGGGAGTTTCCGAAAATTAGGGGTACCTATTTTGGGGCCCTTATATTAAGGATCCTACTATGTAGGGTACCATATTAGGGTCCCCTATTTCGGAAACTCCCACAGGGGTCTTGATATGACATCTGAATCCTAACCACCCCTAAACCCTGCGATCAAGAAAAACCCAAAACGAAGCTGGGTGCATCGTCGGAGACGAGGTGTCCTACAAAGGAAAAGACAGCTTGCACTAGGCTGTGCGGTCCACGTTCATGCTAGGTTTCGTCTTCGTGTGGGCTATGCCTGCACATGTGAGTCGACACACATCAGGGCCTATGGTTTAGAGTTTAGGGTTAAGTTTAGACTTGATTCAGAACAAATGCTTGCTAGACACGTGTCCGTTTGTCGCCACTTCTGATCTAACTTCCGGATATGGTCGTGCTCGCACGACAACGCCAACAGTCCAGATAAGAACAGGAATCTGTACATCTGCAGCCCAGGATTGTTGGAAAGCCCTTGCTGCTTCCTCCAGCTGGGCTACAGGGAAAATGACACAACGTGCAGACACGAAGGGTCAAACCAAGCTTGACTGATGGGAGGCCAAAAGGAGGGGTTTAAGAGTCTTGGGGTAGGGATTCCTTAACATGAACCGTATTATGGGAACCCTAGTCCCTACTAAACCCCCATAGGCTAAAACCCTTCTGGCCTCCTATGATCTACCCAGACCTTCCAAAATCCCTTAATTAAGGAATATACCTTAAATCCTGGATCCTACTAAACCCCCTTCTGGCCTCCTATGATTGACCTTCAAGCTTCTATCCTGAGGTGTAGGCTTGGGGACCGCGCGAACCACGCACTCACGAAGAGCCGGAAGTTACCTTGCAGCCTCTCGGGTTTAGGGTTTAGTGTTTAGGGTTTAGGGGTTAGGGTTTAGGGTTTAGGGGTTAGGGTTTAGGGTTTAGGGTTTAGGGTTTAGGGTTTAGGGTTAGGCGGCTGGCATCGACCTGACTATCTTGGGCAGACCCAGCGCGACGGACGTGGCTCGCCTCGAATTTGCTCAAGTCTGTCGGTCGGTGTCCCAGATCGTCGGAGGCTTCGGCAAATTGTCGGGAAATCTTCTTGCATTCACTGTCCATGGAACGAGTCCGAAACGAATTTTCACATTTTCCCTAAACCCAATACCCTAGCAGAACCTGGCTGTAGTGGGCATTCGTAGCGACCCCCAGAGCTCTCCATCCAAACTTGCCCACTTGTACGCTGTGGGCGCAGCACTCCTCGTGTTGCTGTTGACATTTCCCGTGCGATGACGACTGTGATTGCGGTTGTGGTTGTTGTGGTGTCGTGCTGCTCTGCTTTCTATCTCTTCCTCATGAAACCGCTCCTCAATTAGGCTTTAGGGCTTAGGGTTTAGGGGTTGATCACCAGGCTCACCATGTCGATGATGATTTTGTTTTCCCTTCCAGTCGTTGTTACCATGCCTCTTCTGACATTATTGCTCCTCAATTCCTTCTAGCCCCTTTTTTCAGGCGTCAACTACAATCGCAGGCGGAATTTGGATGGTGATTCATGGCGGTGTATTTCTGGAAAGGCGAGGCACATGGCAGCTCTGAAGGAGAAGGGTGCACTTTTTTGAATCGTGGTCGTTTGGAAACCTACCCTTCTGTCGGCAACCTGGGAGAGGGAAAGAATCCGAGGATGGCCGCCAAATCGCTAAAACAACATGTCGGCCAATTGAATTAGCTGACGGCCTCATCAGCACCATCATAGCGAGGCTGGAACTACGATGTAATGCTGCTACTGCAAAGCTCCTGCGGATCCTGTAGAACGAGTGATTACTGCGGATCCTATAGAAAGAGTGATTATCATTAGCTCTCGCATGACGATGCTGTCAGCTCCCCCAAAGCAGAGAGCGTGCTGTGCCGTCCAGGGAGTGTCACAGAATCAAGGGACTCGTTGGCTCTTGGATACGGTTTAAGGTTCAGGGTTCAGGGTTTAGGGTTCAGGTTCAGGGTTTAGGGTTCAGGGTTTAGGGTTTAAGGTTTAGGGTTTAGGGTTTAGGGATTAAGGTTTGAGTCATCCTAATTAAGCCCCAAGGCCCAGACCTGAAGGCCACAATGCCCTGCAAACCAGACACCTAAAGGGTTTAGGGTGGTTCAGAACAGGATCATGTCTGTGGTCCCTAGATTCTGAGCAACTCCATTCTGAGAAAAAATCATCTACTCTATTCGCTTTGTTGAAAGGCATCCATGGGCGGGTGTGCTGGAGGTCGTTGAACTTAGGCTCAGGGGTGTTGGTTTTGTGTGGTGAAGTAGGCAAAAGAGCTTCTGCAAAGAACTGCGTTGAATTGAAGGCCCCTACCGGAGATTTCTCTAGTTACGAGAACCATAATATTGGGTCTCGCGCCAGTATCAAGACCCTGGATAACTTTGATCCTGAACTCGCAGATGCTCTGATGCCACGAAAATCGTTTAACGTTTGAAGTAGCAGTACCAGACGCCCATGCATGCACCCACCATTCGTCTTAACGGGGCGCAACTGAAACTTTGAAAGCCCATCCGGGTCACCATCTGCGCCAGAGCCACGTCATCTTCGATGCCGGGGTCTGCGCGCGTGCATCGGCCGATCCACCTCCAACTGCTACGCCCAAAGACTCCAATATCCCTTAATTAAGACATATACCTCAAATTTATAGTAGGATCCCTTATATAATTTGAAGTATATTCCTTAATTAGGGGCTATTGGAGTCTCTGGGCGCAAGCATACCGTGTCGGGATCAGGTTCAGGCTCAGGATTTTGGAATTTACGGGGCGTAATTAATTACGACTGCAAATATGACTTTGGCCAAACTATTGTCTGAGTATGTCTGGTTGTAGCCACAAGTACGCCGTACGCCGTCCGCTATCAACCAGTCCAAGCATTAAAAGACAAATCGGGGACCGAAGTATAAACACCAAATACCTAGCAAAATACCGACGATCCATACGGAAACGACCATGTTTAAGACACTGCAAGCTTTGAGAACCCCCCTAAGCTCCTGAAGAATGATGGCTCCGAACACTTCCAAAGAGCAGCGTTGCAATCTTAAGTTACTTCACTGCACATCTTACTTGTAAGCAATCTCGGGCCTGAACAACTAGAATGGGGTTTTGGGGTAGGCTGTAGAATAAACCTACTATGCCAGGAACAGCGTCAGCAACCGCCACCGAAGCCTTGGTAATGAAGTACCGAGGAAACCTCAAAGCCCTTCATCCAATCAACTGGGCTCTTGTTAACGGATTGTATTCAGGTTACCATAGTAAGGAAACTCGATTATTTACTATAGACGCGCAGCTTAAGTTAAAGTCCTTAACAGGGACCCAAATTTTCGGGCAGAAGCCGAGCGATAAATCTGCGTAGAAAGCCTCAGCCTCGGAAAGCCTCAAGGCTGTACGTAAACCCCACAGCACGGGACTCCCCTAAACCCTCCTAAACCCTATAGTAGTACAGTATAGTATAGTATAGTACTCCTAAACCCGAAACCATCCTAAACCCCAAACCCTAACCCTAAAAAACCAAAAGGCTGTAAGCCCCACAAGCCCCGAGCCTAAGCCCCGCAGAATCCGAGAGCCTACAAGCCCTAACATGCTGGGCCTTAAAACTCTGGAACAGGGTTTAGGGACACATCATAGTTTATGTATATATACACATACATCTATCTATCTATCTCTGGATTCATCCGCTTATGTTTTTGTTTGTTTGTATCACAAGGAACCTAAACTCCCTGACCCCTTACAGAAGCTGTTTCAAAACCTGGAAAGAATTTCGCTGCACTGCAGTACAGTGGCATATCCTGTGCACTGCCCTCATCGAACCTGACTACTATGCAATCTCTGAATGCGATCACTTCTACAACCGTTTTCGACACGTCACAAAGTTTGCTTAGAGCCTCTATGGCATCCTGATAGAAACAGTATGAAAACATGATAACCTATAAAGACCCTGTTAACACGCTTAATTCAAGGGGTACTACAAAAAATGTAAACTAACTGCGCGACGCCATAAAACCATATGCCATCCAAGGAAACCTTCAAGAAAACCAACTGTTTCCCCTCAGCTTCCCAATCTCCAAGCCCCCAACCCGGTACCTGTAGGGGCCTTAATAATTAGAAAATGATAGAAAATGATTTTGCTGGATATCATACTATGGTTATCAGTAATGAACCTAGAACCGATTTGCACTTATTTAGTTAGGGTCCCATGTTTAATTCTAAACTTCCCTAAACCCCAAACCCCAAACCCTAAACCGTACTTAAAACCCAACCCCACGAAAGCCTCGAAAGAGTCGGACCTTATGCTCCAGGTCAGCGGATGACGCGGACAACGCCTCGGAGCTTTTGAAATCCCGAGACAGAGGGTTTAGAACCGTTGCCTAACGGACCTACATAGCTATGAAATGTTAGTGCTGGTACTTCTTAGGGCTCGTTGAATTGTTAGGATCATGCTCATGGCCTATTCCCACCGTAGGCTTTAGGTCTTTAGGGCTGGAGGATTACCGGCTGCTCTCACCATGCTAGAACTACCATGAAGAATGGCTTCAGCAGACTAAACCCAGAACAGTAGAAACTAAAGTGATACGGCCTGGAAGCAGCGCCCGTCAAGCATTGCACCATGCCTAAACCCGCACGTTTAGGCCTTCTTGTTGTTGTTGAGGTTTAGTTAAGGTTAAGGTTAAGTTTAGCGCTTGAGGGTTTTTAGGTTGTTTTAGGGTTTAGTTACGTCTAAGTTAGGTTAGGTACTTGGAGGCTCGGGGGACTTAGTAAGTGGCTAATAAGTAGAGTTATAGGTAGCCCAAAAGGAAACCTAATTGGGGTTATGGCACTTATTAGTCTCTAAAATAGCTAGTTACTAAGTCCCCCGACCCTCCAAGTAGGGCTTATCCGGAAGCAGCGCCTGATGTCAGTCACCACAACCCTAACTGGGAGCCTCACAGAAACCCAGCAGATTCCCACAGAAAGTTGAGGGTTTAGGGTTAAGGGTTCAGGGTTTAGGGTTTTGGATTTAGGGTTTGCTTGGAGGATCCTGGGACTTAGAAAGTAGGGTTATTAGTACCCTAATTAGGGTTATAAGTAGGTATAACTATAGTTACCTTGTTCATAACCCTAATTACTAAGTCCCCTGATCCCTTAAGTGGGGTTTGGGGTTTAGGATGGGTCCGCCAGACTCGAATAGCAAGACTCTTGCTATAGGATGCATAGATAACATAGCCCTACCCAATCTTTTGTAATAAGACCCTTGTAGAACTCATATGGAAATCTATAAAACTCTGACACACCCTATAAATTTCAGGCGTTTGCATGCATTGCCAAGCGGCCTTCAAAAAGCCCTTCATCCGGCTGTTGTGGTGGTCATGTGCAAGCCGATTTGGTGGACGATTGTGGTCTGCACCATCTGCCCATGACTGTGAGAAGAAGGAGTGACGTGAATCGGTCCCGACATCTCCATCGTCACAGTCCACCGTTCCCTCGAGAGGCAGTGGTAGGCAAGTACTTGCGCAAGACTCCACCTGCAACCTCTTACCGGCCGTGATAAAGTCCGGCTCCGGATTGCCAGGCTCCTCGTCCAGAGCATGCTCCTCGGGCTGGACGGCTAACCTGGGTTCGTGTGTTTCTGACAAAAGCATTGGATCTTCGACTCCCCTATCTTTCTCCCAACTTCCTAAACCCTACACCCTCCTAGACTTCCCTAAACCCTATATACTATCAATTATAGATCCCTATGATGGTAACTTAAACCAAATCCTTAAAGCCCTCCTTGAAGAAAGGGCCCAGCAACACGCTCTGAAGCGCGTCCATGCCAAGCCTCTCAGGCTTGCGAGGCTCCGGCAGCTTAGCTAGGGCCTCAAAAGCCATGGCAAGGGATCCCAGAAACTCCAAAATCCCTCAATTAAGGAATATGCCTTAAATTATAAAAGGGACCCAAGTATGCGAATATGATCTAAGGTATAATCCTTAAACCATGATAGGGACCCCAATATGATCTAAGGTATCTTCCTTCATTAACGGATTTTGGAGTTTCTGGCGAGGGAGAACCGACAGGGCCCGCGTCTTGCGATGCCTCTCTGAGCCGAAAAACTGCGGGTTTTCAGGGTTTGGGTGTTACGCTTTGGGGTTTGTATATGGGTCGTTGTCAGAATTATGGCTCCTTTTCGAGTACCCCAAGTAGTAGCTGCCGTATGATATTCAGGACCCAAGAAAAGGACCATAATTCTGACAACCACCCATATACCCAGAGACTCCAAAACCCCTTAATTAAGGAATATACCTTAAATCATATTAGGATCCCTACTATAATTTAAGGTATCTTCCTTAGTTAAGGGGTTTTGGAGTCTCTGGGTAGGTCAGGAAGTCCGACTGGGAGGCTGCCTTGGCATCCTTGCCTTGTATGGGTGGTTGTCAAAATTAGGGTCCCTTTTTGGGTCCCTATTATTAATATTATTTTTGTTATTATTATTATTATTATTATTAACGGACTTCTTGGGTCCCTATTATAATATGGCACCTATTATTTAAGGTACCCAAAAAGGGACCTTAATTTTGACAACTACCCGTATGGTGGCGGCTTAGGCTTTGGGGTTTGCTTGAAAAGTCGGGGGACTTAGTATGTAGTTGCTTCTTAGACTTATATGGGGGGAGTTTCCGAATATAGGGGACCCTACTATAGTACCCCAAATAGTGTGGTCCTTATTATAAGGGCCCCCAAATAAGGTACCCCTAAGTCTCGGAAACTCCCATATGCATCATAGCCCCAATTAGGATCCCTTTTGGAGCACTTACAAATTCATTACCTACTCAGTTCCCCTAAACCCCTAAACCCCTAAATTACCTAAATCCCTAAACCCCTTTACCCCGACAACCACAGGTTTAGGGTTGAAGGTTTAACTTCCGTGATTCGGACCTCCCAGATCGCTGGGCTTTCTGTCAGTGCACACGAACGCGCGTCTGCTTGGGTTTAGGCGTTGGGATTTCTTAGGTTGTAGGCTTTCGGTTTTAGGGTTTAGGCTTCAAGGCTTAGGGCTTTAGGCTTTAGCGTTAGGCTTTAGGGTTTACGGCTTCAGGGCTTAGCGTTTAGGTAGTGGAATGTCCTACCATGTCCTACCATGCTCTGTGCCGAAGTGATGTTCATTTTGGACAAGGGAGGTCCAAAAAAAAGTCATAGTTCTCCACCCTTTCCAGTCTTCCTGCTATGATCGCACTTATGGCTACTACTGGGTCCCCAAAGTTACTGCGGTGGGTCTGATGTTGAAACCGTGAGGATCAGACCCTGGGGTTTACTGTAGGATCTGAGCAAGCTCACAGGGTCATGGAACAACGCCAGTAGGCGTTGGTGGGTTTAGGATTCCGGCTTTTCGAGTTTAGGATTTTAAGGTTTCAGGGTTTAGGGTTTACCCCCACTCCCCCCCGAGCCCAAAATGATACTCCCCTGCGACCCGAATCCTAAGTCCCTCCTAGCCCCAAACACTCAGTCCGAAACACTAGACTCTGCTAGACCCCAAACCACCGCTTAGGGAAACCCGAAAACCAAAATCCAAACCGACGCAACGCCTCTTAAATAAGCCATCTACCTCGGATCATAGAAGCAGTCCCTCCATTCAAAGGTTTTTGTGTCACTGGCCCAAAAGCCTAAACCCTATGGTTGATGATATAAAACCTGCATTACCCAAAATAAGGAATAGACTACAATTCCCATACTTAGGGTCCTTAAGGTAATGCAAGATTTAGATCATCAACAGTAGGACCCTGAACAGAAAAGGGCCCCAAACCGCCGTGCCGGGCCACTGCGGTTCTGGGACCGGCCGCTCGGTTTCCTGCGTGGTCTCCTCTGCCTTTGGCTCGGGCCTGGGGGGAATTGCTTTACGGTTTTAGGGTTTAGGGTTTAAGAGCTTTAGACCTTTAATTACATAGACACGGGAATTGTCAACCGCTTGAGTCTATGGCATGAGATCTTCAATTTTTCCCTGAAGCAGCTCCTGAATGGTTGTCGCTGGGGGGATAATACCGGAGAATAGTGTGTTGGGATATCTTACATTCGAAAGGTATAACGCACCGACGTCCTGTTCACGCGCATGCGGCAGAACGGGCAAGCGTTTTGTGCTGTAAACACCACTACAAACACAACATGTTTGTTGATTTTTCTGGGTACGGACATGATGCGCAAAAACTCGAGAAATTGCTGTTTTGCACGTGCTAGCAAGAGTGTTTTGCAGCCACGAAGATGCCAACACAGTGTGTTTTGGTCAGTCTGCTCATGGACGGAACTTTGTCAGGAAGCGTCGAAAACTCGAGGAGCTTGCGCTTTGTACGCTGCTAGAACAAGAAGAAATCGAGACAGTGGCAAAAGTCAGGAAATACGCAGGAGTATTTCGCCTCGAAAAAACCAGGTCGCGGAAGTCTTTGAGTACATGAGGAGGACGCAGGGTTATTGCACTTCGAGGGGTTTGGGGGGAAGGGGTGGGGCAGGGGGGGTGTGGAATTCCATCATGCCCGCAGCTTCACTTGTTGTTCGTTGCGTTAGAGGAAAGTCGCATTATCAGAGCAACCAAGGTGAGGTCATACAGCGGCTTGAGCTTGGGGATAGGGTTCAGTGTAGGAACCTGATTAAGAAACCCTGGCCCTGTAACCCCAACATATGAGGACCCATATGGGAGTTTCCGAGAATGGGGGACCCTAATATAGTAGCCTACATAGTAGGATCCCTAATATAAGGACCCCAAAACAAGGTGCCCCTAATTTTCGGAAACTTCCCGTAAATAGAACCCTAATTAGGACCCCAGGCTTCCTAATCAGGGTCCTATACTACTTGCAGGATCATGGGACTTAGTAAGGGTTCCTTAAAAGGGCTCCTTAAAGGGATCCATAGGGTTCCTTAAAGGGATCTTTAGGGTTTAGTTTAGGGTTTAGGGCCAACTGGGAGGATCATGGGACTTAGTAAGTAGGGTTATAAGTACCCTAATTGGGCTTATACATAAGTAACTATAAGTATCCCTAACTATAACCGTGGCTACTAAGTCCCATGACCCTTTAAGTAGGGTTTAGGGTTTACCGGTCTGTAAGGGTTCTGATCAGGGCTTTGGGGCCAAATTTTGCTAGCCAGCCTCGGGAAAATGCTCTAAGCCCATAAACCCCTCGACCCTAAAGCCATAAACCCTAAACCGGTTTAGGGTTAAGGGTTTAGCCTAACCCCCCAAATCCTAGCCCCCAAACCCACTAAACCCGAAACCTGCCTCAACTCCAAAGCTCTCGAAGGAACCCTCTGACTGGCATAGGGCTCCACTTTTTTCTGAGACCCTGCATCAACCTTGACTTTAAGGTTTACCTTGACCCCAAATAACCTACCTCTTTAAGGACGTATATGAAGAAATCATATATTATGGAACCATAGAAAGGTAGGTTCCTTAGGGTCCAGGTAGGGTTTAGGTTTGAGAGTTGAGGGGTTCAGGGACTGTGGGTCCTTAACGCGAATCCCTTGAAGAAGCTACCCTGATCGATCTGCATACTTGGAGGATCATGGGGCTTAGTAAGTAGGGTTATAAGTCCCCTAATTGGGGTTATAAGTAATTATAAGTATAGTTACCCTAATTTTTACCAGAGTTACTAAGTCCCATGACCCTTTAAGTATTCTCCATCAATGCCATTTTGCAGGCTTCAAACGGCAGTCACCCTAAATCCTGAATCCGAAGTGCCCCTAAAAACCCAGGCAACCACGGCACTCCGCGGCTGTTGCCGATTGAGCGGGAGGAAGAGCCTTCAAGCAAAATTCTTGGCTCACACACTGGGGCCAAGGGTTTCAAGGTCGCGGAAGGAATCCCCCGACAAGGAGATGGTCACAAGCACGGCTTCCACTGCCGAATGGGCTAAGACAGTCTTGAGTTTGATGGTCGGGTGCACGACTCCGAAGACGTGTTTGCTCCATGGAAGGCCTCCAGGGGGCTTGCCGAACCCTACTTGGAGGGTCGGGGGACTTACAGTAGTAAGTAGGTAATAAGTAGACTTATAAGTACCCTAAAAGGGATCCTAATTGGGGTTATGGTACTTATAAGTCTCCAAAACGACTAGTTACTAAGTCCCCCGACCCTCCAAGTAAACCCTAAACTCTGAAGGCGAAACGCTTCACCCCTATACCCGGAACCACCAAGATCACCTAGCCTCAAGCTAGAGTTCGGTGTCTCCAGCACTGCTGTCTTCAAGTCTTCTCAAAAACCTAAACCCTGAACCCTAAACTCCAAAACCGAACACCTAAAATCCTCACCCGATGTGCCCCTGAGATCGTTTTGTAAGAACCTTGAAGCAAAAACCTTAAACCCTAAACCCTAGACCCTAAACCCTAAACCCTGAACCCTCAGCAAACCCTTCCGGCCAACCGGCCGGACACTCCCCTTGGAAGACCGCAAACCGGGTTGAGGGTTCAGGGCTTAGGGATTTGGGTCTACAGTTGAGGGCTTAGGGTTTACAATTACGGGTTTCGGTTTTAGGGTTTAGGGTTTAGGGTTTAGGGTTTAGGGTTTAGGGTTTACAGTTAAGGGTTTAAGGTTTTGGGGTTTGGGGGGCCCAGAAGAAGGAAATCATCGCAGATGCTGCTACATAGACGCGGAAAGAGGGTCCAGCAACGTAGGGCGGGCTTGGCACCATCACGAACAAGTACCACACTAAAACATTGGGTGTTTTGGGTTTAAGGGCTTAGGTTAGAAGCTGCCCCCACCCTGTAATAGTGGTATAATAGGAATATAATAGGGCCCTCATATAATCCTTATAGTCACTATTACAGGGTGGGGGCAGCTTCTAGGGCTCAGCTTTATGAGTCTTGGGTTGGGAGTCCGGGGTTCAGGGGTTCAGGGGTTGAAGGTTTCCGCCAG